GCAAGTGGCAAAGTAAAAATGATTGGATATATCTAATATTTACAATTTCAGTGTACAATTTCATAATTTTCCATTAATCATATTGTATTTTCCTCTCTCAATTCCGAGGTTTCGATCTAGAAATGGAATTTCTGTTTGCATTTGTACGTGAAATGCTAAAACTCCGGCGCTCTAATCCGATCGAGTCTTTATGTAACGTTGTCTGGCAGGTCTCTAGCTTCATGTTTACATCAGTTTTAACCTTCAAGACTTTTGATGTAAGCTCTGAAATATTTTCCACTCATTTCTTTTTTTTCAGTTTTTGGAGTTACTACCACACCATGATGCACAACAAACATCTGGTAGTCGAAATCTAGTTTAAATTCAAGTGTTATGTGCTTCTTGTTTCTTTATCTTATTTGTTTTATAAAAGTAATCGTTAAGATTCATTTTTTATTCAAATAATTTTCTTAAAAAAGTGTTAGCGATTTTTAATAATATTCATAGCCAGGTGCGCGCGACTATTTGTCGATACGCAATAGAAGGATGCAAACCTTGGCGAGTACTATTCGCATATGGATTCACATACATGCATTCTATCACATGGAGGCTTTCAATGCGATTATACAAGGATGTACTGACACAGACGAGCTCGCGTGGCCTTTCATTCAGAAGTTTCTGCTCGACAAAGCTCGCGCTCTCGTATCGCAGAAAGCAAATTCGAATTCGTCATACATTACCGAGTGCATGCAGAGGCACGCATACCTATGGAATCTGCAGCATAGGAAAGCTCAAAGCTCCAGCTCGCTTCCTTTGTCTTTGGACTTTTTTATTGGCTTGTAAAGCGGAGACGAGGACGTTAGGTAAAGAGTGATATAGGCAGCTGAAACAATCGTGCACGAATAAGTTGGTTGCTGACTCTCTCGACTAACTGCCATATTCGCGCTTTTGCTCTGCCAATCCCTTTGCAATTCGATAGTTTTTATTTCTTCTCTAACCATCGATTCGAGCTACTTGTCTTGTACCTTTTCTCTTCATGAATTCATGCTAAAAGATATATGTGTGTTCTGATGAAAGATCGGGTGATTATTCTTGGGAAAATCTCGTTTAATTTGTTTCTACTCTTCTTAATCACAGAAGGTAATTATTTTTAGAATTTTGATATTGATTCGGATAATTGATTATATTCTAATGAGACTATTTATATGTAAAATTTTAAAAAAAATTGCTTGCGGTAATTGATAACTTGAATTCGAACGAGGTATACAAGGTTCAATGCGTGGCCGCTGTCAACTTCTACCGAATCAAAACTCAATGCCTAACCCAATGTAGTACGACTCTCGAAGAACTTGAAAGTAGAACTAGCTGCCTTTACTCTCTCGATAAAGTATATAACAAATCTTGAAAAATATGTTCGTGTTCGCATCCTGGCGAAAATGCGAAGAAACCAAATATACACGTCTGCACATGGAAGTTTTTGTTCTTAATAAAAGACACGAGGAAAACTTGCAAGGAACTCTCTTATTTTGATTCCATTTGTCAATGGGAATCCATATTTTTATTTGGTGTTCGTTTTGACTCGTGCAGACGCGCGAGTAGCGAACACGCAGAACAGCAGCGTATAACAATCTATGCAGAGAGCATCAAGAATCCTATACATCTCTCGACTTTTGTAATATTGCTTTTTTTTGCTCGAGCGGGTTTTCTTTTACTCGTGTATCTGTGTATAGGTATAGTTGGAGCGCGTACGGGAGGTATATGCGACCACTTTAGCAAGCGCAGTATAGTAGCTGGCGAGCGCGCGCCATGTGTTACTTTTCTCTTTCTTCGAATTACGCGATGTCACGTTTCGCGCGCGCGCGCAAGAAATGTCGAGCTCCGAATGAAAATTTCTTCGATTTCGGAGTTAAAATTGCTCGCAGATTTATCGGGGGTATATCCTGCTGCTCTCGTCGTACTTTTACATTATCAGAAATCTGAAATCGTGCGCGTTCGATTTTCCCCACGGAGCGAAGCCCGGCTAGCAGCAGCTCTGCCTGGCGCGCGCGCGTATAAAGCTGCTGCGCGCGTGTATTGCTTTTTGATTTGCGCAGTATACGGCTGCCACGAAGATATTTGTTTGTTGAAAACAAATCGAAATCGCGCGGCATGAACTTTTGATGGTGAAATTCTTTTACCTCGAGTTTTGCATTTCGTTGGGTCTATATTTTGTTTTTGACAATAATCCCGAACGAGGCAAATATGGAAAACGCCGATCTCAAAGAAACAATCATTCGTTTTAACTTAAATATTTACCTTGCGTGTCTGTGGCGAGTTATCCTCGTTCGTTAAAAAAAAAACAAACGTTAATCCCATGTGTGTATAAAAAAAATTGAATGTTCGAAGCAGGAATTTAACATCACTTGCACGCTCGTATCTGTAGTCGCAACAAACCATTCTCACGCGTAATATGTACGTATAGTTTGTATTTCTTGGTATGTATAAAAGTGTGTATGTGTGTGTATGATGCTGCAAATGCTCGCTACGTGCTGCATGTACTGCCAGTGAAAAATCTCTCGTACAAATGCGAGCACACCCGCATACCCTCAAACGCATGGCTATGTGTGCACACGCATACACACGCGTATCATCGTTGCTACCTCATTTGTTCGAACGTGGAGCAAACATTCAAAAAGAGGTACTGGATCGTCATGATACATAAAAAAATAAGCAGAAAATGTAGATAAAAATGTAGTTGCGCGTTCTCGTTTTAACAAAAAAGAGAAAGAAGCAATCCGCGCATATAGCGAATGTACGTTTGACTTTATCTAAACGAGAGGCAGCGTATATATTTTGTGTAAGCTCGATTTCTCGCGTAACAATGCGAAAACGCAAACGTCGAATTTCGCCCGTCTTCCGCGACACGAAAAAAGATTTTGCCTTCGGAAGAGGAAGTTTTCCTCCTGCTTCCATTGGTGGGTATACATCCGAGAAATGTCCAGTCCCTGTCTCATTCTTTCTGTCTTGTTGTCGTGATGCTACTTGAGATTCTTTCTTTCTGACTGTCGTTCGATCTTGCGCGCTTCCTACGTCGAGCTCCCTGTCTTTTTTCATTTGCCATCTACTTCTTTTTTCTTGGTCTCTTCGTCTTTCTTTATCTTCACAAAAGTATGTACAACATAAATTTTAAATATAACTTAATTGCGAATACTCTTTATTTTGTTTCATTGACATGTTATTTTTATAATCTGAATTTTTATTGCTTTTCTTTCAATTTTTAAAATATTTTTTTGTATTCATGTCAAGTAGCAAAAATAATCTTAATTATAATCGAAAATCTATGTAAATTGGCAATTTTTATGGCTAATAGAAAAAGTTTACGCTTCAAAAAGTGTGAGATAATTTTCCTTTATCTTTCATTTGCCACGTAATATGTTTCACTGACAATTTTTTGTCTGTTTTTTATGCTATTTGTATTCTAAAAGTATACGTTGTATGTTCAGCTTCCAAACTCGTAACAGCCACAAGTTTTGAGCGATGTCCGAGTTGGCGCATAGACGGTATATTTATATGTTGAAAAAAGAGGATAGGTCGAAACTTTTAAAAAGATTGTTGTCTCCGGTGAATATTCCATCTCTCTTCTCTTCTTTCTACCCATCAGCTATTCTTTGCAACGATACAAAGCAGCAATGGGTATAGAAGCAAAAGGGAAAAATGTCCTAAACAATAAGTTTTTCTCAACTCCTCCATCTACTGTTTTTATATCATTTTATATTTGCATTTTTTAAATAACTTGAAATGAAATGAAGCTGTAGATTCCACGAATTTTATTTTAACAATTTTTCTATACGAAAATGAATTTAGGCATTCCCAAAACAACATTTCATTTTAAATAATATATTTTGTCATGACTTGACTAGTAATGTTACTAACAGTAAAATATGATCTAGGATTCGACAAGCAAAATATTCAATTTTTTCATTGAATTTTATGTGCAACGCATAATTTTTTTAACCTGTATAATAACGCATAATTTTAATTTAACCTGTCGATTTTTCTGAAATTCTAGGCTGATCATGCGGGCTAAATTCAAGTTCTAACATGTGTGCGTAAAAATATTGCAATTTGCATACGCGTAATTCTTTCTTTTCGGGTGTCGGGTACATTTTTATATTTTTTTCCATCACTGTAAGTATATTTCTTTAAATTTAAATAAGTAGATAAAGAGGAGTAAATATGTGAAACTAAATAGTACAGCATTAACGCGTGCTGTATGGAGCAACAGAGAAAGAAAAGATGGACTAAGTTTTCTTACAACCACAAAGATCTAGTAATCTTTGTTATTCACTTCTCGAGTGCATAAAACATATACTCAGCGCCCTTAATGTAGCATAGCTGCTTATGGACAAGCGAAAGTAAATTGATATTTTGATAATGTTCGCAGGGTCTTATACGTTTGATCAAAAAGCATGGAAAAATTAAATTTTCATGAATAGTAAAATTAAGCACTACTAATAGTTGGACAAATAGTGTTAATTACTACAAGTTTGTGAAAGCATTTACTCCTTATCTTCAAGATTTGTTGAACATCAACAGCTTTACTTTTAATAACAAATGTTTCTTTCTTCTGTCTGTTGTTCCATATAGCACCCATAAATACTGGATTATTCAGTTTCGCGTATTTACCTCACGCTACTATTATTTCAAAGTAATACGCTCACAATGATGAGAATAGATTGACCCGTAATTGATGTTTACTTTTCACGAAAGCTATTATTTGAATTTAAAATTATGTATATCTGAGTAACTATCGTTATTCAAATTTTTTTATAACATTTTTTGTTTTCAATTATCATGATATCATTTTATGATTAGTAGCCTATCAACGGCATGTCTTGAAAAAAAATACATTTTTGCTTACTTCAATCAGAAATAAGAAAATTTTCTATACCTTATTTATATATCCCCACTCAACACACAAATTGTACAATTCTGTAGTCTAATCGTGTGTAATGGGGATTTGGGTGTTAACTCATCAGATTTGCTGATCTCATCTTCACACTTGATCGATCAGACACACGCGAGAGATCAAACGATCGCGTAACGGTTTGACATTTTTGTCAATACGATTTTAATTTTTATAAATTTGACTATTTTCTTTCGGCAAAATAAACATCGACGAACCAAAATGGCTAGTCCCGCGGTAACATATAGAGATGGAGAGGTCGATTTACATTTAAATCCTGAAGAAGATGGTAGTTTGGACGCAGAAAGTGACTCAAGCCGTTTAATTGGCACAATCAGTGAAAGATCTCGGAGTAACATAAGGTCTGCCAGGTTTTGGCGAAGAAATTGTTATTCCATCTTCGGCCTTAGTATTTTCATCATCGTTTGCGCTGTGGCTATTGTTCGGTTGGCTATAAAAGTTAGCCCCAGTAACGCACCTGAACATGGACCTGCACCAGAAGCAATCACAATGGGAGTAAACGCCAAAGAGGGGGAATTCCCGTATCAAGCTTTGGTTTATAACAATTTCACGGAACTTATATGCGGTGGTTCCATATATAACAAACGTTTTATTATAACTGCAGCTCATTGTGTAACAGATCTAGAGAATGGGACGTACGTAAAATATATAATCAAATAAACCTCGAGTGAATATAAATTTCATAAAATCATTCCCAACAGAGTACATGATCCCGCCAATATCATAGTGAGAGTTGGACTTACCAGAATAGATGACCTAAACGCTATAGAAAGAACTGCGTACAAAGTCCATGTCCATTACTTATTTGGAGACGTGAGTAAATACTAATATTATTCAAATGATAATTGGAAAATTTATTATTTGTCATATCTCAAAATAAAATGATTTATTTTTAGCCTAACTATCCTTACATTGCCGACATCGCTTTAATCGAAGTAAAAGAAGATATTATTTTCAATAAAAAAATTCAACCTATTCGACTTTCTAAGAGACTAGAGGATACTAAGGAAGGAACACCAGTAACTATTACCGGTTGGGGAGAGACGTGGGTAGGTATTTTATAAATATGAAGAAAAAATGCAAATATTTTTATTTATTGTGTTACCGAATATTTTTCAGCCCTACTCAAAATTGGTGACTATGAACTTGCAGGTTGGAAAAAGTGTCATTGTAAATTTTGATAATTGCTCTATAGATTGGAAACGTGCAATGAATGCAACAACGGTCCGACGAACTATGTTTTGCATGTCACCAGAACAGTCTTCTTGCTATGTAAATATAATTTTTTTTCTTTGTACATTAAATTCGTATTTTTTCCTAATTTCTACAATATATTTTTTAGGGTGATTCTGGAGGTCCCATAGTTAACAAGGATAAAGTTCAAGTAGGTATAGTCTATTACAGTTTCGACTGTGGCGTGAACACGACAGTTCCAAGTGTGGCCACTGAAATTGCTCCTTGGCGGTCGTGGATAAGGAAAACCGGAAATTTGACTGTAGTGTTCAACCGGGAATTAGCTTTTCTCAATGAACATATTAACATTGGCCACTTAGATATAATGTTGGATGAAATGTTACATATGAATCCATTCATACAACATCATGGAAATAAATCCAACATATTTAACCATACTTATGAAACGACCCATTTGAGTAATCGAAATGCAACGACTGGAAGCGCAACTGCAGTCCTAAACTCATCCATTCCGTTAGACGATGTATTAAACAGACGTGGACCCAGAGTAAGCATTCCGAGATCTTATATAACCCCGAACAACCCCGGCCCCTTCCCAGCTATTGATAAAAAAGTATATCTCAAGAGTGTTAATATGACTGCGCCGTTAAGGAAGTTTTTGAATCCACAACCAAAACCAAGTCAATCACGCCACAATAAAAATCGAGGCCGACTGATTATGCGTCTTCTGTGATAAAATACGTAATTGTATATATTGCAATTTTTATGATAATTCTAAAATATAAAACTACTTTTACTACCTACTTTGTGGTTATTTTTAAAAATGTACTTTTCCATTAACCATTTACATAAGCTATTCTAAATTTGTGTTTAATCGATGGAATTCATTTATAATTTCATAAACTAAGTGATTATATGTCTTATTTTATTCAAAAAATCAGTTCTTAGTTTAAATCAACTATTCCTCTCACTTTTACATTGAACTATTTTTGAAAAAAAATTGCACCTCAACGTCATTCATAGGAATAATCATGTTTTGTACTTCAGTGTCGCAGTATACACAATTTTATACTCTCCTAATAAATTCTACTAAAAAATAAATACCCTGAAGTGTCGGAGTTACGAGAACATGAGTTGATATACGTATATGTGTAGTATCTACGTTTTTTTCATGCAATACTGGCAAATAAATAAACATGCATTTTTTGTAAACGCAAAAAACATGTACGCATATACATTAAAATTTTACTTTAGTTACAGACAGATGCAAAAGTTAAGAAATTTTACTTTTTCGCGTTAAGAGAAAAAATATCGTTTTATGTAAAATCAAAAACCGTTTGTATATCCCGACACATTAAAATAAAACGTTTATATTAGCACTTAACTTTATACACTTTAAGAATTTTTGATTTGTTTTTGAACATTATAACTATTTGATTTATTATGATTATATGAAACATAAAAAATTATGACAATTTAATTCGAAAAATACAACCAGAAAATTCGTGGACTTATTTTTTAAATCAAATGTTTTGGAGTATTGAAAAAATGCATTATCTCTTTTTGAAATTAAATTGTTCGCGATCATATAGTTGGTATTTCATCTTTATTTAATTATATATCATTTCACACTTACATTTCAAATTTTGCAGTCATCTCAAATATGCTTTTACATTTTTGGGTTGTAAATATCCGTGAATCAAACAAAGGTAAATGGCGCATGAATTGAGCGCATTAGAGCTTCAAAAAAACGTAGAACAAATGTGGAGGAAAAATATCTTAGCTGGTCAAAGAAAAATAAACTTTTTTTATAGAATTTTTTAAAGATGCATCATTCCCCTTTTATGATAGATATCTTATGCACATTATGTAGATATCATTATGCACATTTATGTATCCTAATTTTTATCAAACTCATTTTTTTCTGCTTGCATTTTCATTTCGAAAATGTTGGCATAGTTATTGGATCATACGACTCGTCAAATGCTGAGAATAAGTCATCTGTGCAAAAAAGCAACTCATGCGAAAATCACCCGTAAGAATAATAATGGCAATGATTTATTCTTATGTCTCGCGCGCGTTCGTGTACAGCTCTTGCTTTTATATATGCCCTAGGATCTTCCTTATGTTGTTCGTCGAATATTTATATCTTCTCCTACCCTCCTCCTCTCTTGTGCCAACACGTTACTAAATTGTGAGTTCGTACTTTCGTCGTCACGTTTTCACGCTTTTTTACATTACTCGTATTAAACAGAGTTTGAGAAATTCATCGTCACACGGCGCTCTTTCGTAAAATGACTAATATTTTTTCCCGTCGCTAAAGGCTTTTTTTCGCATCCAAGCTAGAAAATTAATTTTGCAGATATTTCGTGAGCCACACAGACGCCAGCTTTGTGTCAGCTTCTAATGGCAGAAATTTTTACAGCTTCGTAGTGTCGATCATTTAGACGGTCCTCTGCATTTGTAATGCCGAGTTCTTCATTCCTTGTTCTCGCATTTATCCACTCCATCTATTTTTAAATAACCATAAAGTAATTTTATAAAAAAATAGTACATTTTTGCTAATATTATGATACCCTTCAAAATAAATTGTACCTACATTCCATATTTTTATTTATAGCTATTTCGGAGCATAAGTAGTAAATAACGTTCATTCATTCTTAAAACTTACAAACATTACATAGATGAAATATACCACTTTAAAGTAAATTCGTGACAATGTTTGACAATTTTATCGTTTTATAATGTGCCTCTTTTATCTTGCAAGAGTTAAACTCAAAGTGGAACCTAATTGATATTTGACCTATCAAAAGTCTATATTGGCAGTTGATCCTAATTTGAAACATCCGTGAAGTGAAACGTTTGAAAACTAAGCTCGTACTTGCGTCCATGTGAATGGGCTGAAAACGAACTATTTCTCGACATTGAGCAGCACTTTCTATTGTCGTGACACGTGCACATTAAAAAGTCAGCGTGGGAGTTGCGTAAAAGGGCTGCGAGATTACTGAAAAAACAAAAGGAAGGTCGGAGCGACGGACGAAGCAGCAGCAGAGAAAGGGAGAAAAGTATACGCGAGCTGTGCGTATAATCCATGCCAAATATACGCCGAACTCGCCGCGCGAGCGCGTGGATTAAATTCCGTATGCACACGCACAAAGTTTGACTTTCTCGACCCAATCGTCTCGCGCGACCATTACACGCGCCTGGGATTAGTGCGCGAGCAGAGGTTTTACTTCGGCCAAATTGTTGTATCCCAAAAAGTGAGAAAGAGAAACAGAAAAGGGTGTGCGTCGCGCAAAACGTGCGCGCAAACGTCGGATGATTAATGATATGAAGGGCACACGGATGAGAGACCTTAATGTGGCCGGATTTGCAAATCTCGTCGCACGTTACTGCCGCTACACGCATGATGCTCGCGCTGAGTGTTTCCGTGATTAAGACTGGTTTTTTGCCTTTTTTGATAACATTTAGCCCCATCATAAAGGAAAACTTCAAAACAACTTCGAATTGGGAGTGCACGCTGTGCTCGATTGAATCATACCTGCGAATGAAATGAATGTACTTGGAAGCAAAATGACTCACGGCTAAGTCAGCGAAACGATATTTCATAAATCAATACTGCACGAAGACTCACTTGAAATACATGCGCGACGGTCAACCAGTTACAATTGCATACGAACGAGAACAAAGCTCGAGCAAAAATAATATTTTCATCGTCGCAACGTGGACCGATTATGCGCGTGTGTGTGTATAGCTGTACAAGCTGTAGGCAAAATCAATAGCAGCTGCCACGATCACAGCTCGCGCGTCGTTAATTGACCTCAGCCCGCGTCGAAAATCGACGGTTAGGGGTATAATTTTAGCCGTCGGATAAAGCATACATCGCCATCGCGCACACACCCTGCCAATAATAATCTTTGCCGGCCAATGACTATCAATTGCCAAGTAAAGCAGTAGTAGAGCGGAGTCTAGCAGTGGAGGGCAGCGTTGCGTGTCGATATTATACGCGCCGCCAGGCTTCTTCGCGCTAGCTCTTTTTTCGCTTCTTGTTTTGTACAGCTCATAAGTATACTCGCGTTCACCCACGCGCGTCCCTTGTTTTAGCCAGACGCAGACGCGCGCGAGTAAGGAGAAACGATCCCGCGCATATTCATGCTTATAAGCAATGCAAAAGAATAACCAAGGGGTGTGATTTGTAGATCGCGACGTATTATACACACGTACATATATAATAATGATACGAGTACATGTGCAGTCTGGGTAATCGTTGCTATATACCTTTTTTTGTTGCGTGGGTGTGTGTTTGCGAGGCGTGCTTGGTGAGCCGAAGAGGTCGTTTGCGGAAGGGGACGAAACTAACTTGTTATGTACGTTATATACGCAAGATAACGCCGAGCGATTGTATTTATGAAATTACATGCTTTGTAGTAGCCGCTGCGTATATGGCGCGGGTGGTGCGCGGAACGTTACGCGTGTTTCGAGATAATGCGTGTGCGTATAGTCTGGCTCCTTCTTTTTTTTCCTTTTTTTTTTTGGTTGCTTATATTCTCTCAGTAGCCAAATTCAAATAGCGAGCCAAATGTACTTTTTCTTTGTCTACGTCCGACAAAAATTGCTGAATTCGCTTCGGTGTGTGCGTATACGTTGATTGCGACCCCGCGTACGACGATCGATCTCTTTTGTCCACGCTAATTTGTATAACGATGTTGTTCGAAACAAAATAAGTACTTTTAATAATAATAATTCTAATGCGTGCGCGAGGAGAGGACGGATAGATAAAAGGAATCGTTATCGACATTCTGAACGAGCATCGCGATCAGTGCGAAAAAGGACAAAAAAAAGGTAGCGACGCGAATGAAGCGAGTGAGGCGCATACGACAGAGACAAGTGAGACCGATAAAGATCTCCATTCTCCGCTCCTCCCTCAAACTCCCAATCGAACTGCCGTTGCATCGGCGTCGCGATGGCAGCAGCCTCGTATACAATATATTTCATTCGACACACACGCAACACTCTCACACGTACAGGTGATACATCTATATACCGAGCGCTGCGAAATTGTCAATTTCAATTCTACCGTATATAGCACGAGCGGCGCGCGAGGTGATATATTATTTTTTTTTTCACTTGGCAACTCGTCATTATTATTATATACAGCTCGCACAAACGTACATAGCTTACTATATAGATGCGAACGTCGACATCTCGAGCATATGTACGCACAGCCATCACATTGTTGTCAGACATCGTGACTCATCTCTTATCCATCGTCTCTGCAGCCATTTTTTACCTCCTGCGCGCGGATTCGTACTGCTACATATAGGAACCTTTTCGAGAGCTCTGCGATGTCGGCGATGCGAGCTTGAACTTTTCGCGCGCATACATCAGCGTTACATATTATTACATACACACACACATATATGTCGACAAGCGTAAGTACTTATATGTACACGCGCGCGCGCGCGTATTACGCAGAGAATGGCCACCGCGGTGGAATAGCGCCGTCAGGAAGATTTATGCTCTTTTTATTGCACGCGGATGCCACGCAATAAAGAATTTTTTTACAACTCTCGCTCTGGCTATTATGATAATTTCGCGTGGTGGTCGTTGAATGCCGCGCTCTCTACGCGCGCATACTCTCTGGTCTGCTTATGTGCGTGTTATATGACGTGTGGTATTAAGAGCTCAATAGTGTGTCGACGGGTGAGGGCAAGGCAGGCGATAAAATATTTCGTATATAAGACTCGAAGGATGACTGTCTCGAGCGACGAGCGCGTATACGTGCGAGGGAAAGGCGTGTTTG